GAAAGAAAAAAGGAAGGGAAGGAAAGCCTTGTGCTAAGGGGTCTGTCAGCAAAGTAAACCCCCCCAAATAAAGTTATTTCAGTTCAAAAAATAATAATTAAACAAATGAACGAAAGATAAAATCTTCAAAGGAGCCAGAGGGGTGGAAAAAACAAGTATAGGAAAAACAGCAGATTTCTTACTGGAAACAGTACAAGCACCTTCTTAAAAAGAAGACAATAGAGCAACATCTTTAATGCAATGAAGAAGTAAATCATAATAATAAACAAAAACAAACCACCCTGTCAACTTACAATTTTGTGCCCAGTAAAAGTAGTTTTCAAAAACATAGGTGACGTTTTCAGACATACAGAAGCTAAATGAATTCATCATCAAATATCTGCACTACAGGAAAAGTTGACAGAAGACAGAAAGAAAATAGTATCAAAACAATATTTTGGCAGAGAGGCAGAAAGAAAAACTATCAAAATAATATGTGTAATTAAAGTCTGATGGAAGAGGAAGATAATAATTATCTGAAGAAATAATGGAACAGCATTAAAGATGGTAATTACATGGGTAAATATATAAAACTATTTTCTTGTTAAATCTCTTTAAAAGATAATTGACAATTTAAACAAATAGCAATGTATCATGGGGCTTATAAGATATATATAAAAGTTGCTGGCAACAATAACATAAATGCTGGAAGAGGAGATATGAAGGTATATTATTTTAAAGTTCTTAAATAAGGAGTATAAGTATAGTATTACTTAAAGGTAGATATGATAAATTAAAGATATTTTATATAAACAGTAACCACCTGAATAGCAAAGCAAAGAATCATAGCTAATAAGCCAATAAGGATAATGGAATCAAAGAAAGTTTTCAATCCAAAAGAAAGCAAAAAGATGGAAAAGGAAACAAAGAAAAGATGAGACAAACAGAAAACAAACAGCAAGACAATTGACTATAACCATATCAATTATCACGCTATATGTAACATTTTAACTATCTCAATTAAAGGGAGAGATTGTCGGTGGAATTAAAAAGCAAGACCCACCTACATGCTGTCTATAAAAGATACCTAACAAAATGGAAAGATTAAAAATAAAAGAGATGAGATATCTGATTTCAGCTCATAGATGGAAAGAGGCAGAAAGAGTGTCACCATCATCCTATAAGACAAAAACTGGACAAACTGCAAACTAAAGATTTTTCTTGAATCCATCAGAAAGCTGAGGTCACAGGGCAGACAACTAACCAGAAACCTGGAGAAAGACAGGAGCCTACAGAAAGAAACAGGGCACAATCTTTGGCTTTACCTGAGACAGACAGCTCCAAATGCATGTAAGGTAGTAGGAAGATTAAACCAGATTTTTTAGTGAACTGCTAAACACCAAGTGTGGGCTAATGAGGGAGCATGATGTCTATAGGGGACTGAAACATAATAAGGTTTTCACCCTCACACAGGTAATTTCTCCAGCGACCTCATCAGGTTCTCACAGAGATAACTGGGGAGAATCCAGAGAAAGATACCCCCTTTAGTGGTGCCGGCTATCGGAGAAGAAAGGCAGCTACTCCTAAAATCTGTTCAGATCCAATCCCCTAATTTCCACTACAGATCCACAGATGATATCTGCAGAAGAAAGCATTAATGAAATTCCACTGCAGCTTGGGGAGAGGAATGGAGATCACTACTATTATGGGCTGAATTGTGTTGTGCCCATAGCAACCCCATTCCCAAATTTCAGAAGTTGGAACCCCAATCCCCAATTTGACTGTATTTGAAGATAAGGACTGTAAGGAGGTAAGTAAGGTTAAGTGAGGGCATAAGGATAGGATTAGTGTCCTTTTAAGAAGAAACACCTGAAAGCTCCCTGATGTGTAAGGACACAGTGAGAAGGTGGCAAGCCAGGAGGAGAGCTCTCACTAGAATCAATTGGCCCTTTGATCTTGGACTTCCCAGCCTTCAGAACTGTAAGAAAATAAATTTCTGTTGTTTTGGCGACAATGTCTATGGTATTTTGTTATGGCAGCCCTTGGAGATAATCACCAAAAGAAAATACCAATATCAAGAATGAAAGAGAGAACATCACTATCAATCCCATCAACACTAAAAGGATAATACAGAAATATTACAAACAACTTCGTGTTCATAAATTTGATAACCAAGATGAAACACCAGTTCCTTGAAAGACAAACGACCAAATTCAATAAATAATAGATAACCTGAATAGCCCTATATCTACTGAAGAATGTGAATTTGTAGTTAAAATCTTCTCACAAAGATATGTCAAGGTTGACATGGCTTTGCTGGTGAGTTCTAATGAATATTTAAGAAAGAAATACCATTTTGAGTGGGCACGGTGGCTTATGCCTGTAATTCCAACATTTTGCAAGGCCAAGGCAGGCAGATTGCTTGAGCCCAGGAGTTTGAGAACAGCCTGGACAACACAGTGAAACACTGTCTCTACAAAAAAAATACAGAAAACTTTTAGCCAGGTGTGGTGGTGCATGCCTGTAATCCCATCTATTTGGGAGGCTGAGGCTGCAGTGAGCCGTATTTGTGCTGCTGCACTTCAGTCTGGGTAACAAAGCAAGACCATCTCGGAAAAAAAAAAAGAAAGAAAAAAGAAAAGAAATAAAAATTTTGCAAAAATTCTTCCAGAAAATAAAAAAGGGAACACCTTTTAACTCATTCTATGAGGCCAGCATTGCCCTGATACAAAACAAGGTAAAGATGTTAACAACAACAAAAACTTAGACCAATATGCCAAACATACATGCAAAAATTGATGAATGTGAGCACATTAAATTCAACAATATATAAAAAAGATGAATACATCATTACCAAGTAGAGATTATTTCAGAAAAGCACAGTTGATTTAACATTCATGTATCAATTGATGTATTAATTTCCTAGGGCTCCAATAACAAAGTACCACCAACTGAATGGCTTACAAAAAGCAAAATTCACTGTCTTACAGTTCTGGGTGCCAGAAGTACAAAATCCAAGTATCAACAGGGACATCCTCCTTCTGAAGGTGCTAGCAAAGGATCTGTCCCAGGTCTCTCTCTTAGCTTCTGTAATTTCAGGTGTTCCTTGGCTTGCAGATGGCCATCTTTTCTCTGTGTCTCTTCACGTGGTGTTCTTGCTGTGTGTGTATCTGTGCCCAAATTTATCCTTTTTATAAAGACACAAGTCATATTGGATTACTGCCCATCCTAATTCCTAATTTTATCTCAATTACCTCTATAAAGACCTCATTTCCAAACAAGTGACATTCAAAGGGACCGGGGATTATGACTTCAATATATCTCTTTTGGAGGGATACAATTCAATCTCTATATAAAATATAAAACTAAAAGAAAAAAAAAGCAAAGCAATCATTTCCACAGATGTAGAAAAGCCTTAATGAAATCCAACATTCATCCTTGATGAAAGCTCTCAAGTCTTCCTCCATCTTGATAAAGAACATCTACAAAAAACCCTGAGCTAACATCCATAATTGAGAGTAAAAGACTGACAACTTTCCAAGATCAGAAGCAAAGAAAGGATGTCTGGTCTCATCACTTTTATTCAACACTGTACTTGAGCTTCTAGTCAGTGCAGAAGAAAAAGAACTAACAGGCCTCCAGAATAGGAAGGAAGTAAACTGTCTTTATTCACAGACAACAAATCCTGAATATATAGAAAATCTAGCAAAATCCACAAAAAAGCTGCGAGAACTTGTAAGTCATTTTTACAAGATGACAGATACAAGATTAATGTTAAAAAATCAATTGTAGGCCAGGTGCAGTGGCTCATGTCTGTAATCCCAGCACTTCAGGAGGCCGAGGCAGGTGGATCACAAGGTCAGGAGTTCGAGACCAGTGTTACCAACATGGTAAAACTTGTCTCTATTAAAAATACAAAAATTATCTAGGCATGGTGGTGTGTACCTGTAATCCCAGCTACTCAGAAGGCTGAGGCAGGAGGATCACTTGAACCTGACAGGCAGAGGTTGCAGTGAACAGAGATTGCACCTCTGCACTCCAGCCTGGGTGACAGAGCAAGACTCAGTCTCAAAAAAAACAAAAACAAAAACAAAAACAAAAACAAAAAACTATTGTACCAGCCTGAGAAACACAGTGAGACCCTATCTCTACAAAAAATACCAAAATATTAGCTGGGTGTGGTGACGCACACCTATAATCCCAATGTATTAGTCTGTTTTAACATTGCTATAAAAAACTACCCGAGACTGGGCAATTTATGACAAAAAAGAGGTTTAACGGACTCATAGTACTGCAGGCTTAATAGAAAGTAGCACTGGGAGGTCTCAGGAAACTTCTATTCATGGCAGAAGACTAAGGAGAAGCAAGCACAGATTATCATGGCAGAGCAGGAGAGACAGAACAAGGGAGGGGGGAAGTGCCAGACACTTTCAAAAAACCAGATCTCATGAGAACTTACTATTACGAGAACAGCAAGGGGGAAGGAAGTTCACCCCATGATTCAATCACCACCCACCAGACTCCCGGGGATTAGAGTTCAATGTGAGATTTGGGTAGGGACACACAGCCAAACCATATCACCCAGCTAATCAGGAGACTGAGGCAGGACTGCTTGAACCCGGGAGGTGGAGGTTGCAGTGAGCCATGATCACACCACTGCACTACAACCTGAGCAACAGAGCAGGAATCCTCTTAAAAAAAAAAACAAAAAAACCCTCAATCATATTTTTACATACTATCTGACATAAGGTATTTGTCCCTTCCAAATCTCATCTTAAAATCTGATCCCCAATGTAGGGCCTAGTCAGAGATGTCTGGGTCATAGGGGAAGATCCATCAGGAAAACTTAATGCTGCCATTGCATAATGGGTGAGTTCTCACTCTGTTAGTTCCCTCCAGAGCTGACTGTTAAAAAGAGCCTGATCACTACCTCCCCTTTTTCTTGCTTCTCCTCTGACCATGTGATCTGCAGACAGCCTCCCCTTCACTGAGTGGAAGCAACCTGAAGCCCTCACCAGGAGCAGCCTACAGAAGTGTGAGCCAAATAAACCTCTTTTATTTATAAAGTATTCAGTCTCGGGTATTCCTTTTTAGCAACACAAATGGACACTATCAAAGAACAACTGAAAATTTAAACATTAAAATGTCATTTACATAATATCAAGAAGTATAATGTCCCCCCTCATCCTTAGATTTATGGATAAATCAGACACAGGGTGATATGGTTTGGCTCTGTCCCTGCTCAAATCTCATCTGGAACTGTAGTTACCATAATCCCTAGATGTTGTGGGAAGCACCCAGTGGGAGGTAATTGAATCATGGGGGTGGCTACTTCATTGCTGTTTTCTGAGGTTTTATATAGGGGCTTTTCCCTCTTTGCTTGGCACTTCTCCTTCCTGCTGCTCTGTGAAGAAGGACATTTGCTTCTGCTTCTGCCATGATTTAAAGTTTCCTGAAGCCTCCCCAGCCATGCTGAACTGAGTCAATTAAACCTCTTTCCTTTATAAATTACCCAGTTTCAGGTATGTCTTTATTAGCAGCATGAGAATGGACTACAAAAGATCAAAACATTTGCTGAGTGAAATAACACCTAAACAAATGAAGAGGCTTACTTTGTTCAAGGGTCGTAACTCAATATTGTTAACATGTAAATTATTCTCATGTGGATCTATAGATGAAATGTAACTCCAATAACAATCCCAACTTTTTAAAGTGACAAGCCGATTTTAATATTCATATGAAAACCCAAGGGACTAAATGAGCCAAAACATTTTTGAAAACAAAAGATTGGAGGCCAAACACGACGTATTTTTTTTTTTTTCCTTTGAGACGAGTCTTGCTATGTGGCGGACTGGAGTGCAGTGGCGCGATCACGCTCACTGCAACCTCTGCCTTCCGGGTTCAAGCGATTCTCCTCCCTCAGCCTCCTGAGTAGCTGGGGCTACAGGCGCACTCCACGACGTCTGGCTAATCTTTTATACTTTACTAGAGACAGGGTTTCACCACATTGGCCAGGATGGTCTCCATCTCCTGACCTCGTGATCCACCCGCGTTGGCCGTCCAAAGTGCTGGGATTACAGGCGTGAGCCACCGCACCCGGCCACACAATGTGATTTTAAGATTCTTAATTAATCTACAGGAGTCAAGACAGTGTGGAATTTTTGGAGAGAGAAATATAATAAATTGTCAGAACAGAAAGTCTTAGACCTACACCTGATGCTTTAGGGACAACTGATTTTTGACACAGGTGCAAAAGCTATTCAGTAAGAAAAAGCTCTCTGAACAAATGACACCATTCATATGCAAAAAAACAACTTAAGATCCATACTAGGCACCACATACAAAAATTAGCTCTAATTGGATCACATATCTCAATATAAAACCTAAAATTCTAAAACTTGTGTCGGAAAACACAGAAGAGATCCTCTGTGTCCTTGGGTTGGGCAAATTCTTTGGACAGACCAAAAACAAAACCCTATGATCCGATCCGTGCCGCCGAACAGCCCTGCTTTCCCCACTTAGCCTGCGGTCACGCTAGGATCCCGCCTCTCTTCCCGCCCCGGACCCTCCTGGCCCCGCCCCAACCCGCCCTCTCCGTCCCGCCCGGCTGCCTAGTCTTCAGCCGGAAGAGCCGCCGGGGCAGGGAAGTTGAGGCGGTGAGCGGCCAGGCCTCGGTGGAGCGCGCAGGCTGGGGCAGAGCCGCAGGCGTTAGGCCGCCCGACAGAGCCCGCGCGTCCCCGCTGTCGGTGGCGCCTCCAGCGCCTACGCGCACGCGCGTGCCCCGCCCCGCCAGCCTTCTCCGGCTGGAGACTAACCCGCCACCCGGCCGGAGCATTCTGCGCCTCTCGGCCTCGGGAGCAGCGCGTCCCAGCGACTTCTGACACAGCCAGTAAGTGATAGTCGCCTCTTTCTTTCGCGGTTATGTTTTTCTCCGGTTCGTCCCAAGTCTCACTCACGTCTCCTTTCTTCAAAAACTATTCAACTCCGGGACCGGACAGGCACGGGAGCTGCCCGGGAGAAGAGCCCGGGAAGTGTCAGAGATTGCCGAGGTGTCGTAGGGCAGGGGCTGCGTGCAGAGACCCTGTGAATTAGAAAGTTTGGAAAGCATGCCTTCGAAAACCAGCGACTCCACGTTTGCCAGGCGTCCCTGGGGCTGCCGAGCGGCCGGGAGGAGGCGCGAAATGGCGCGCCCCCGCGGTGAGAGGGGGCGGAGGGAGTGGGGCGGGGCCGAGGGCGCGCGTCCCGCCAGCCCGCGCGAGAGGGCGGGGCTCCCCGCAGGTGCAGGCGGGCGGGGCGGAGCTGCCGTGATTCCCTGGGACAGCTGGGGGATGCCAGTGCAGTTAGGCACTCTCCTCTCTTCGACGCTTCGCTGTGGTAGGAGGACACAGTAAAGCAAATGATCTTATTTTGATCCCAAATATTCAATAAGAAAAGGAAAGAGAACTTGAAAGTTGTGAAATGACGCTCCTCAAAACAAAAAGTACCTCTAGTGTGTATCTGGGTGGATAGCAGGTACGTTTATTGAGTTAGCACACTGCTTATAAGACAGCTGATTGGTCAGTTTTGCGCAGATGTTGAAAGGGAATGCTATTTTCAAGAAAGATGGTTCATATAACCTTAGAAATGCTGGTCTAACTGGGCGAAATTTAATCTGACCTTAATTTGAACGTTGAATTCTGCTGCTGCCCTTTTCCTGCCTTGTATGGAGCTGTTTTTCAAATTGATAAATTTGTGGCTCTAAACTTAATATGTTTTCATAGAATCATAGTGATTGTCTTGTAGCCAGTCTTGGGAGTCCGGATTTCTTTTTGGCAGAGTCCACATTGTGGAAATATTGCCTAGTTAGTTCTTTCCCAAGTGCTTTTTCTGCTTTACACTCAGCTGAATTTATATTGCTTAACCAAAAACAAATTACCATGGCAGCCATAATTTATTTTCACTCATTGTCTTGGATATACATTTACTCATTCGTACTCTCACCCTGGCCTCCTATAGTTGTCAGCATTCTTGACTTAACTGTGGTATACACTTCCTACACCTTTCACACCTTGTGTGGTTCTCAGAGAAAGTAAAATATAGCAAATAGTGTGTACAACACATACTTAGGATGGTAAACTGCAAACTTTATAGCAATATCCTTTAATATTTATATCTGTAGAGCCCAGTACAGTAAATGTTGGGCAAATGAAATAAGTCAAATTTAAGTACACCTCTTCTCCAGTGCTCAGTTTCTTTCCAAACCAAATAAGTGTTTCTTATTTGGACAGCTTGTTTGTAACTGTCCAGTGCCACTTCTGGGATCGTCATCTCATTTAAATTTAACCTCCCTCTCCTTGTGCATTTCTGCATATTCATATTGCATTTTTGACCACTGATAGAGCACTGTTTCATTTTATTTGTCCCTTGGATCTCAGAGGACATAGAGAGCCTTTTACTATATTTTTTATTTGCCAGCATAGTGCCTTGTACATGGTAGGTATTAGGAAATGGACATTGAATTGGGTTTATACATATGTAATTTGTTATCCAACTCTATACCTGAAGATAGAATGGGGTAGGTGCTTTTTATTTGCAGATACATACTCTTTAATAGAATGCCAAGGGAATGAGATAAAGTAATGGTATATGCTGTATTTATTTTCAATAATTTTTTATTATTTGAAGACTCAGTGTTTTTTTCCTTTCCAGTGTTTATGTTTTCTTTACATTGTTGACAGCTGTTTCTGCAGAACCCAGTGGATTTCCTAGGGTAAGAAACAGAAAGTAGGAAACAAATCCACTTCCAAATATGAATTTCTAAAAAGAGTCTATTAATTATTTGTGCCAAAACTGGCTGTCAATCTGATTAATGCAGATTGACATTAATCAGAATTAAGTAGAATACACATGAGTGTGTTATATAACAACAGAGCGAGAGAAAGAGAAAACAAAAGAATGATTCACTGTTTATATAAATGAAACCTAGAACCAGGACCCTTACAAAGAACTCCACTGTTAATGACTTAAGCCAAAAGATATGTTTAAGATTTTATGCTTGAGAGCAAATGTGTGTGTATGGAATGTGGTCTCTTACATATATTATATAAAATAAATACCATTATATGTCATTTATGATGGGGATACATTCTGAGAAATTTGTCATTAGGTGATTTTGTTCTTGAGTGAACATCATAGAGTGTTTTTACACAAACCTAGATAATACAGCCTACTACACACCTAGGCTACGTGGTATAGCCTATTGCTCCTAGGCTACAACCTGTACATCATGTTTTTGTACTGAATACTGTAGGCAGTTGCAACATAATTGTATTTATGTATCTAAACATAGAAAAGGTACAATAAGGATACAGTATTATAAACTTATGAGACCACTTTAAATGTGCAGCCCAGAAATGTTATTAGGTGCATGTCTGTATATTAATACAGGGTTAATATGAAGGAAATTTTGGGAAAATGTATGTGAAATGCTTTGAAACATTTTGGATTTTGATAATCAGTATCAACATAGTTCTTTGACTTACATTTGACTTCACTCATTTTTAAAGTACATGTACTGTGACTGTAACAGGTAGTTCAGATTTCATTAAGATTTGAATTCAGATATTATTTTGCGATTATATTATGACCCAAAGCCAGTGTGATTTATAACCAATCGTTTTTGTTAAATTGTGTGTACATCTTGAATATCAAATATATAATATCCTTTTTTTTTTTTCTTTAGTTACCTAGATTCAAGATGAATAGCGATCAAGTTACACTGGTTGGTCAAGTGTTTGAGTCATATGTTTCGGAATATCATAAGAATGACATTCTTCTAATCTTGAAGGAAAGGGATGAAGATGCTCATTACCCAGTTGTGGTTAATGCCATGACCCTTTTTGAGACCAACATGGAAATTGGGGAATATTTCAACATGTTCCCCAATGAGGTGCTTACAGTTTTTGATAGTGCACTGCGAAGGTCAGCCTTGACAATTCTCCAGTCCCTTTCTCAGCCTGAGGGTGTTTCCATGAAGCAGAATCTTCATGCCAGGATATCAGGTAAATCACTTAAGGGTTTTACTGCCATGTTATCTTCTAGAAAGCTTTTGAGAAAATATACTAGATTCAGAACACTAAGAAGTAATTGATATTTATACTTAAAATATTTATCTGTTATATAGTTGATGGTCACTTCTTTTAGAGCAGAATAATAATTGTGCTCTGTGGGCATGAAGTATGAGTCATGCCCACTGAAGGGAGGGAGAATGTGTGGAGGCAACAGTATATTTGTATGTTTACATATTTCCACATCTGTGTATAAAATTGTAATTCGAAGTAGCTTTATGAGCTTTTGTGGTTACTAACAATAAAATAACTGGTACTACAAAGAATTAGAAAAGTGGTAGATCCTGTCCAGGGATCTTCAAAACTATTTTAGGAAATTAGTTATTTTTATATATCAGTATTAGCATTGCGCTGTCTACCTACCAATTACTTAATACATTTTTGTTGAATGCATGAGAGATTAAGCTTCTTAATTGTTAAGAACCTCCCACGGAGCGGTCAGCAACTGTTGATGGCAAAGCTGTATCCTTGAATTCCTACCTCTAGGAATTCTTGCCCCTCACTTTCTGTTTTAAAAGTGATTTTCTTAAAGCAGGTGGATAGAGTTGAATTAAGAATTATAGAAAAAAGGGACACTATAGTGTAACAGTTTTTATTTAGTTCATTGCATGGAAATAATTTCTTGGAAGGCATGGTGTGGTGAAAGAAAAATTGGATTTAAAGCCTATATGCCTAACCTGGGAGACTTAGTAAGTTATTTTATCTAACTGAGCTTCAGTTTCTTTACATGCAAACCACCTGTAGAGTGCCTGTTAATTCTCCAATTAAAAAAAATTAAATATGCCATTATTGTGTAAATTAATAAAGGCTGGTACAGCTTCATTCTATTTATGTGAAAGAAGGATTTGGTAAAATTAAAAGCAGGTCCAGAATATTGAGGGCAGCCTGTGTAAGTTGGAGAACATACATACCCTTTTATTTAAAAATAAATATTTACCAAATATTTGGTAAATATTTATAGTACATTTGAGTAGAGTGAGGATTTATAATCAAAAAGAATGCTTCCCCAGTTCCAAAAAGGTTTGGAATCGCTATAGAATAACTTCTTGTAGGCAAGTTAAGATTCCCGAGAAGACCAAATACTTTATTTAAATGAAAAACGTTATCTGCAGTTACACTTGCTAGAATAAATTACGAAGATTATTAATTGTTATGCATCAGGGTAGTAGATAATCTTGGTGGGATCAACAAAAAAGGTCGCCCCGCAACCTTT